AGAAGGGAGAATGAAGGAGACAGCGGCCCCTCAGCCCGTCCTCACCTTCATCAGGAACGTCTTGGGTTTCGGTCCTCTCTTCTTGGGGCCATACAGCTCCCTCTCCCTCTCCCTGAAACAGCAACACAGACCCACTCACTCAACAGGCTCGGCAGCTGGACACCGGCGCCCCCTGGGGGCTCGGCCGGTAACAGCGCCTCCTCGTACCGGCCCTGCAGGCGCCCCCTGGGGGCTGGGCCCTGCGGGCTGCGCTCTGCCCAGCTCCACTCACGCCAGGCCGAAAACCAGCTGCCACTGGGACTGGGGTCCTCCCTGCCCACCGGGGTGCCATCTGCAGACTCTCCTAGAGATTCTGTGGGTGACCCCAGTGCCCCCCTCCCACCTCCAGGCTGTAGGGGCTCATCCTGGACTGGGACCCTGGCTGTGATCTCTGGGATGTTGGGGTTCATCCTGGACTCGGACCCTGGCTGTGATCTCCAGGCTTAGGACACATTTTCCAGCCATGTCAGAAGACACCTCAGAGGACCCCCAATTTTAAAACCGAAAGAGCACGAAAAGAACAGGGCAGATCAGGGAGACGACTACAGAAAAACACCCCCAGTTTGAATCCCGGCCTCCCAGCTCTGCGTCCAGCCCTGTCTCCAGAACGCCGCACGTGTGCCCGTTCTGGGGTGGACGTTCTGGGGGTGCCGAGTGGAGAGGTCTGCAGAGGTGGGACAGGAGCTCTGGCTGCTGGGACTGGGGGGGTCAGCCTCCCCAAGACATGGAGAGGAGAGGAGGGCCGCGTGACCGCTGTCAGATACGTCAACAGAAGAAATGGCTCCTCTCGCTTAAGGCCTTCGCTCATCCAGCCCCTTCGGCAGTGAGTCACTAATTAACCTGAGAGTCGTGTCCGGCACACGCCAGGTTACTGGCTCCCACAGCAGGGCTGTTCACCTCCCCCGCTACCTTCTGCGTAGAGAAGTGGCAGCTGTGGGACACCCAACATCTGGAGTCTCCACTCCTGATCCGGGGGAGAGCCCCTACACTGGGGAGACTGGCCACCCCGATGCAGAAAGACCCGGCCGAGCCCGACTGAGACCCAGGCGACTCGGGGAGTCAACTGAACATCTACAAGGAAGCAGGCGCCGCGCAGGGCCTGACACGGACGCTCAGGTCCTGGAAAGGGAGGGGGTGTGGAAGAACCCCAGACGACTCTCCTGGGAGAATCGTCATTTTATCTGGAGGAGCAGGGCACGACCCGCACTGCAGCGCTATGCGCGTCGGACCAGGACGGGGACGGGTTTTCCTGCGGGCTCGGCGGCGGCTGCCAGACCCGAGCAGGAGAGGCGCGGCACCGGGCTCAGTGTCGCACCGCCCCCGCTGGGCTCGGAAAAAACACCGGAGCAGAGAGAGCTTGCTGGCGCCGGCTGAGGAGAGCTGGGGAGATTTCTATTAAATGTCGCCACGCAATTTCGCGACAGCACCGAAACCCGACTGCCTCCCTGCCGCCTTTGTTGTGGCGGAGAGCCGGCGGGCTGAGAGGAGCGGCCGGGGCCTTAAAAAGTGTTGTCGCTTCAGGAAAACAGAACCACACGAAAAATACGTCCCCC